TGGAGGAGCAGAGACACGAACCCGGTTCACCAGATCACGAGTCTACCGCTCTTAGCCACTACACCACACTGGCTGCCTAGCTTTCCGCAGCTTCGTGGGGGAAGAAACTGGCAAAGGAGATCCTCTTCTCTCTTCATAATCCTGAGATACCCTCCTTAGGACCATAGGATAGCAGCCTCTCCCTTTGTCCCACCATAGACACACACACACACACACAACCTTTATTGCAGAAACAGAATAAAATGGAATTACATTCTAGCCAGTGGCATGGTCAGGGTGGCCTCACTCACCTAACCTCTGGGCGCTTGTGTGAGTTAGGGGGTGGGAGGTGGTGTGCCATTGCCAACAGAGCCAGTGGAGCCAGTGGCAAAGCAAGGTTGGGTGATACCTGGTGCAGAAAATTTCTTGCCACCCCCCCCACACACATTGCAATCTATGGTTTGACTTTATTTCATGGGGGGGGGGAGCCAAAGTTGTTGAACTTTTTTGGGGAAGCCAAAGCTCTTCAGCGTCTTTGGCGAAGATTGCGTACCTTACGACAAGGAGGCTACTGAGGGGGACCATTTTGACAGCGGGAAGCCTGTGCGCACCAAACCCACAGCGTCAATCACAGACGTTGACTACTACACAACATTTTGCCACCCCCCTCAGAGGTGGAACCACCCACCTTGCTCCGCCCCTGAGTGGAGCTGATCCAGTGCTCCCGCTAGTGCATTTACACCTTGTCGACGTCGCTGCCACCTCATCCCTCTCGCAGCACTGTGGACCAATTGGAAGACAGGGGAGCACCACAACTGCATCCACCACTGGAAATATGGGTAAAAACATGCAAAGCTGACACAGTCCAGAAGTAGTTTTGTCTATCCCTGTCACAAAGCATCTGAAGCTTTCTATATGGTTGCTAAGGGAACGTCTGGCTTTTGGTGTTTTGGCAGCATGATAGATGATGGAGTTTTGGCAAGGGAACATGAAAGGTCAGGGTTCTTCCTGCGTAACAGCACCCGCCAGTTTTGTGCCCTCCACATGTTTGGACTACAACTCCCATCACCAGTCCCCATCAATTCCAGTCTAAAACATCTGGAAGACACCCGGTTAGGGAAGCTTGCTGTATAATATTCACGACAGGCCGGCAGCTTCTGAAAGCTGCCTTTTTTCCTGGTCTGCTCACAGATGGTGTTGTTGAGCTTTCAAGACCAGAGTTTCCCCTTTGACCTATACCTGCTAGGAAGTCTTTGAACATTGTGAGCAATGCAACTCACTATATGTTTAGAATAATAGAACACTTTGGAAACTTCAATAAAAGTGATTTATTGATTCTAATTAAATCTCCCTCTTCTTCTTTTTTCCTAAGCATTATAGCAGATACCGGTCCTAGTTAACTTTAATTTTGGTCTGACATTTACTTGCCAGCTAAGAAGTGGGAATTTGGGCTGGACAATTCATTTTAATTTTGGTGAAAAATATCATTTAAATGTCAGAAAACTGCATATTTAACATTTGCAGTAATTAAGTGGCTTTAATTTAATAATAAATCTCCCTGCTTTCATTTTATTTACACTTGTTCTACCCTGTCCTGGTTTGGCAACCTTCTATGGCAATTCAACTACAACTAATTGCTTCTTTACTTGAGTAAATACATTTTAATGCATTTTCCTGCCCAATTGGCACGTTTACTGTTTAATTGATAGAAACTTGTTTCAAGGATTTTGCTCCCCTCCCCCTTCAGTTGAAGGCTGCTGTCATGTGATCAAAGTTTTATGATTACACCTTGAAATAGATCACATCTCAGTCTGAAGAAAATTGTATGCAAAGTTTGGAATGTGCCAATCCTGTAGATCAGGTTTAGGCAAAAGGTAGATTTGAATCTGCTTAGTTTCTCTGATGTTCAGACTGTTTAACATCAACATATTTTTATTCCACACCTAAATTAAGCAACTGAAATGAAGAAGGCTAACTAGGAGTGGCTTTTGGTTGGGAAAGACTTTGAATTGAGTTCAGTTTACATACTGAAAACAAATCCATAGACCTCAGAGGCACCCTGTTTTTCAAATTTAGCACTGGCTCTTGTTAGATTCTGGGGGTAAAATTCAATGTAGCGTTAAATGAGAGAAGTGCTATTTTTCTAGAAAAATAGATGCCAGAACTTACCATGAACACCTCCCTCATGCTCTTAGAATGCTAATGGTGCCCACCAGAGAGGTGCCAGAACTGAGTTCCTGTGAGTTCCCCCTGAAAAGCCCTTTGCCTGGGAAATGAGGTCTGCTTATACAATGGGGCTTTTCTCCTCTCTCCCCCATGTGCTCCTTAAACATGTTCTGGGAATCTCCCAATGCTCCACAGCAGATTTTAGAGAGCACAAGGGGAAGGAGATGGGGGAAAGTCTGGTTGCATGAGTGACCCTCATTCCATACACCCTGCCCTGCGGTTCTAGTAAAAAAAACCAAAGGAAATCAGAAAAGCCTAACATCTGTCCAACTACACTGAAGTTGCTGTTGTTGCATCACCTATGCTGCAGTGTTTAGGAGATTTACAGCATACAAAATAAAAGTATGTGAGCTAGAAACTCTGGTAGGTTTAGTTCAACTCCATCAATACGGAGGTGCTACTGGAGAATAAGCGCTGGTGACCAACTGACCATCAGGTACTGGAAATTGCTGCACATCTGGCTTCACAAGCTCCAATAATTAGCAGATCACGAGGTCTTGCAAACCACAATTCTAAGGCCTAGAAAATTGTGTGTGATCACAATCACAACAACGCAGGACTGGGAAGAGGTGCTGATTTCTCCTTTCTCTTTGTGGCTGCATACTTGATAACACTGTAAGGCCCTGAGTGCGCTATGGATTTAAAGCAGTATCGTGCCACTGGAAACAATCATGCCACACGCCTGCCCAAAAATCCTGCGAGCTGTAGTTTGAAAATGGTATTTAGAGTTGCCAGGACACCCCTATTCCCCTCACAAAGCTACAGTTTTCAGGAAAGAGGGATTTACTGTTAATCCACTCTGGGAACTGTAACTCTGTGTGGATTTGACACCCACCCTCCCAGTTTTGAAGAGAAGATAGGTACATTACTTCCCTCCATGAGCAAGTAATGTAGAAGACTTTTTCTCATTGATGGAGGGGGCAAGGAGAGGACATGCCTGCACCATTTTGTGGCTCTGTGTCTTTCCCCACAGTGTTCAGTATGGCAGCCATTTTGTGTCATGCCACACACCCACTACAGGAGCCATTTTGTGAATGGCGCCCACTCTCTCATAGTTCCAAATGTACCCTACTGGCCCAAAAAGTTTGGCGACCCCTGCCTACAAGCCAGCAAACAACGCAAGATCTGCTAGCGTAGCATGTGCTACAGAGTTGGTCTCCACGATACAGTCAGAGTAACTTTTCTGCTGACCTTCTCGCTGGTTCTGGACTGATACAGCAGTCTTTCATCTTCTCATTCTCTCTCGAAATGCACGTCCGTGTCCACAGCTTCGTCCTTTTGCTGAGCACTCATGTTCTGTCTCCATATGTTATAGCTGTAAGTGCCTATGTGTCAAAAGGTGGTTTTTTCCCCCCAAAAGCAAAGTTAGCTTAATGATGCCTATTACTTAGGAAGCATAACCTAGCTTCATATTTTAATTAAGCTACTCAGTGTTTTCAGACCACAATGCGCTAGAAACTCTAGTGGCCATGGCAGGAATGGTGCATGTTTATTTTGCTTTGGTCGCTGCAACATGAGTTCTGTTGGAAAATTTAAGCAAGAGAAAAATTGTGCCTTTTATCCAACCCTTCACTCATGCTAAAACAGGCAGCAGCAGTGAAGACAATAATATAACTATCCATTTTTAACTAAGGGAGTTTGAGGAAATACTTTCTGATACTCAAATCAGAGACCCCAGTACTGTACAGATGTGGTTAAACTAACACGGCTGCCTCTGTTATATCTATTTTGACCCTGTTATTATGATTAACTTGGTGATCTGCAACCACTGATTCATTTAGGTGTATCATATTTCAGAAAGTAAAAACCGGGAAACCCCAAAAGTTGTTAAGTTGTTGAGACCCACGATTTTCGGTGGACTTCCCTAAGTTCCAGGACAAAGTGCCACCTTTCAGAAATTCCCCCCAGATAATCAATTCTGACTTACCAATCCTTGTAATGTCCAGGAAAATCAAGACATGGCAGCCCTAGATACATTGTAAGTAATAAGATGCATACAGAAACGACTTCAGATCTCTACCTGCATCCACGTTCCAACCAGGACACACATATGCCTGGGAAACTTTCTGCAGTTGCTTGTATTCATCAGGGGATAGAAGTAGTCTTGGATTTCTTTTTAGGCTGCATTCATTCATTCAAAGAAATCTCGCTCTTCCCAACAGATGTTTCTAAATGCTTACATTTATTTTTTATGAAGGTTTTACAAGAATCAATTCCAGTTTATAAGTCTATTTTTTCCCCCTCTCTCCCCCTCTTTTTTTTTTCCCTCAAGGAAAGAAGATCCGAAGATCTATTTCTGTCTTCTTGGCCTGGTGTTAAGTTTTACTTATTGCTTTTAAAACAGGGGAATTTTATGTGAGCTGTGTCTTTACATGCAAAGCAGTTGCGGCACTCATCTCGCTTTACTGGCCGAGGGAGCCGGCCTACAGCTTCCAGGTCATGTGGCCAGCATGACTAAGCCGCTTCTGGTGAACCAGAGCAGCGCACGGAAACGCCGTTTACCTTCCTGCCGGAGCGGTACCTATTTATCTACTTGCATTTTGACGTGCTTTCGAACTGCTAGGTTGGCAGGAGCAGGGACTGAGCAATGGGAGCTCACCCCGTAACGGGGATTCAAACCGCCAACCTTCTGATTGGCAAGTCCTAGGCTCTGTGGTTCAACCCACAGTGCCACCCGGGATCAAGGGAGGAATAACATGAACCACCAGCCATGGTCCCTCACCTTTTCTGAATCAGCCCCAAGTTGCTTGGGAATGCAATGTGACTTTCCTTCTCCATTCTACAGATCACCAAATGGTTTAGCTCAGTGGTAAAGAACATGCCTTGTGTGCAAAAGGCCTCAGGTTCAATCCCTGGGGTCTCCATGTTAGGGGTGGGAAAGAGTTGTGCCTGAAACTTTGGGAAATCAGGAAGCTGCTGTGTGATCCTTGGAAGAAAACTGAAAGAAATGTTGGATACCCGCTACCCAAAGTAAGGGGAAACAGGATATCCGTGTTCACAGCTGATCTCTTTCTTTGCAAAGAATTGTTGATAAATATCCTTGCTACCTATTATCTCCTATGGATGTCCTCTCCTGACACAGCTAAATTGATCTGTCATCTACTCACAATTTCTTCCAGGAAGCCTTTTAGACCTGGAATGATTCTGCCCCTCCCCAAGGTTTTCCCGGGGGATCAGGACAAAAGACCGTATTGAATATTCACCAGGCATTCTTGGGCTGTTTTGGCTATTGCCACAGAGGATTTTGAAATCTGTATTAAATGTGCTTGTGTGGGTACCTGGGGTGGCAGGGGGTTTTTTTTGTTTGTTTGTTTTTGCTTGTGTTGGTTTTTTGTATGTTTGAAACTTTAAAAATTGGGGGAAAGATATTTGAAATAAAAGTCAAATGTTGAAATTTTGAAATCCATCTATGACATTAAGCAGTATTTAACAGTATCATGCCCTTTCCAAGGTTTGCGGTGGTCAAAAGCACTGCAAAAAAATCCCTTAGCATTCTGAAATTTATTAGGTTCTTTTGAAAAGTGGTGCGGTCCGCCCCTCTGCACCAAAGGGGGGAAAACTAATTAAAAAACTAAGCCATCCTTGGCAGAGGTTTAGTCAAACTCTTATTACTGCCACTGTTTTATAAAAACTTTCCATACTGGAGAATCCAGAATTTAGTTCTCAGGCCCACAATTTCACTTCTTCCTGTCTGCCAATCTATAGAAGAAGAAGAAGAAGAAGAAGAAGAAGAAGAAGAAGAAGAGAGCAAAGTTTCTCCCAGGATGAGTATCACTGCAATAAATATTGAATGTCCTTTCTTCCATTCACACCACAATGAGATGGGATCTGTTCCTTTACTCCCCACCAACCTTGATCAACGTACGAGGCGTTTTGTACTGCACTTGATTTAGCTCTGCTAGACTAAGCACATTATTAATTGGTTCCCTTTTATTTACAATACTATTGCTTGAAATATATACTACTCTCTGTAATTGAATTTTTGGAATGCAGTAATTATAAAAGTCAAAAGAGCAATAAACAGAAGCGTTAGTAAATAATTGCATCTGAGAATGAGCATAAATCATCCAGATTAAATGATTTTATATCATATTTGAACTCCTTAATTTTAATTTATGACTTCCAGACAATTTACAGCCACTGCTGACTACATTTTCTCCAATGCGCTTTGATTCTACGGGGCCGATAAATGGGAGCTCAAGAATTCATGGAGTGTTGGGGAGGATTTTGTTTTGTTTTGTTTTAACCCTCTTATAAGTTTTACCAAGTGGGGAGCAGCACAGGACGGCGGGGGGGGGGGAATCATTGAAGACCAATCAAGGCTTCAAGATTATTTAGATAACAGCCCAATCCAAACTAAGCTCACGGCTGGGCTTGAAGAGAGGGACCATATGTGTGAATTTATGCCTCCACGCTGGTGTGCCCCAGGTAGTTTTCATTCTGTCTTTTTCAGTTTCCCATCACAGGCACTCGAGTCAATATAGAGTCCACCCCTGCCCAAGCCCAGTTTCAGAGAGGACTGGGCCACTTTCAGCTCCTGAGACCCCTAGGCATAATAAGACTAAACATGGCAACACCCAACAACAAAATAAGACACCAAGAATAGAGTGAAGCGTATTTTGATTTTTAAAATTATTACTTAGCGAATGTTTTCCTATCCTTTTCAAGCTGAGGGTGTGTGTCACATTTTGTTCCAATGTGCATTTAAACGAGTTGTGAAACATAGCAAGTGCCTTATACGGAGTCACACCACTCACCACTGGCCTGTCTAGTTTGGTATTGTATAATAATAATAATAATAATAATAATAATAATAATTTATTACTTATACCCTGCCCATCAGGCCGGGCCTCCCCACCCACTCTGGGCAGCTCCCAGCAGAATTAAAAACACGGTAAAACATCACACATTAAAACTTCCCTAAACAGGGCTGCCTTCAGACGTCTTCTAAAAGTCAGAAAGTTGTTTATTTCCTTGACATCTGGTGAGAGAGTGTTCCACAGGGTGGGCGCCACTACCGAGAAGGCCCTCTGCCTGGTTCCCTGTAACCTCACTTCTGCATTGAGGGAACCGCCAGATGACCCTCACTGGAGGTGCTCCTTCAGGTAAACTGGGCCTTTCAGGACCCTAAAGGTCAGCGCCAACACTTTGAATTGTGCTTGGAAACGTACTGGGAGCTAATGTAGGTCTTTCAGGACCAGTGTTACATGATCTCAGTGGCTGCTCCCAGTCACCAGTCTAGTTGCCGCATTCTGGATTAGTTGTAGTTTCTGGGTCACCTGCAAAGATAAATTTCAGCAGCTCTCCAGGGTTTAAGGCAGGGTTCTCTCTCAGCTCTGCCTGGAAATGCCAGGGATTGATTTGGGGACCTCCTGCATGCAATGAAGATGCTCTACCACTCAGCTATGACCCTTCCTGAGCCAAATGGCCCTCCTCTCCATCCCCACCTGGCTGTGCATCGGGAAAATAACCCAGCACCTGCTTCCTGAGGCAGCTGCCTCACTCTACCCAATGGTAGACATGGCCCTGTGCATTTGGCTAAGGAGAGCATTGAATTGTGAGTATGGATGCAGATCAAGGTTGACTTTAGCGTTGGGTGTGGAAGATGACTTTCACATTTCATATGGAAGTTTAACATCCCTCTGTTTATTTTAACTTTTTTTAGAGAAAGTTTGTATATATCTGTTAAAAACTATAAAATGATTTCTCTTACTCCTCTTGAATCTTTCTCTAGCTTTTCAAGTGACTGATATTCTGCTGTGCTATCACCACCAGACTAAAATAAATTCTATATATAAATATAAAAAAGAAATCAATTCCAGATTCCTGAAATCTGATGATAGTATGTATGTGATGTGTGCTGCAAATTAAATCATTGTGATCGTGGAGGGATTTGCTTGGAGGACTCGCAGGAGTAATTCTGTCGCTCTGCCTTCCTTCACTGGAAAATGTAATTGACAGTACGCCTGAAACTGAAGGTACCAAGTGTGGTTAAAGGAAATCTTGATGGAGTTGCGGAAGCTTGCTTACTCTTTTGAAAATTAGCAGATAGAATGGGCCGCTGGTACAGATGACAAACAATACAGTGAATTGTTTTAGGGCAGGTTGTGGTCCTTGAATGAAAGCCAAACGAGCTGCTACCTTGAGAAAGCAAGACAGTTAAGAATCTAGAAAGTACGGTGAAGTGGTAACATATCTAATTAATCAGTCCAAAGAAGCATTAAATCAGCAGGCAAACCATCCATTTAAGCGGCATTGTCCATCCCAAGAGATCAGCTGGCTTTACAAATGTTAATTTATGCTTGCATCACTCAGTGCAATAGGTGTTATTATTCCCACACTGCAGATAAGGAAATGGAAGCGCAGACAAATTAAGAATTCTGTCCTCGGACCATTTATTCAAGAATTGTTTTGTCGAAGTCAATGGGATTGTTCCGGGACAATGCCATGCTTGAGGACTTTTCTAAGGGCAATCAAGCGCCTGTAGTTCTGACCGAACAAACTAAAAAGACTGGATATGCTGTCCCAATTCAGTATGGGGCATCTGCAAGCACAGATGTTGAAAGTGCACATCTGGGTAAAGATCTGCCCAGCCATGGTCAAGGATGAGCTGTGAGCAGCCATCTAAGGTGAGCCAGGAGTCATGGGCTCTGCCAAGTCATGCCAAGGAATGAGGCAGAACTGCAGACCAAACTATGAGGCAGGGTTGAGGAGCAAACCAGAAGTCAAGACCAAAGGACAACCAAAAGTCACAGGAATGCACCACAGCTCAGGAAGACTATGTTGCTTGAACAAGACTCAACTGGAATGGGAAGACTTCTTATACTCCTCTCTGTCCAGGAGGATCCAGTGGCCAACCTTGGTGGTTGGAATCAATCCAGGACCTGAAGGTACTTCACTGAAAAGGCTGCCACATACACCTCAGTGGTTCACTGCATGCAAGATCTGCACACACCTCCTGACTCCTGGTCCTCACAGAATTTGATGTCATTCCACACATCACCCAGCCTTCTCCAATTTTGTGATCTGCCAGATGTTTTGGGCCACAACACCCATCTTTCCTGCCCATTGGCCATGCTGACTAGGGCTAATGGGAGTCCCAATAACATCTGGAGGGCAAGGCTGGTGTGGCCAGTGCCAGTTTTAGTCTTTAAGAGCCCTTGAGCAAGATGATCTCAGAGGGCCCTACGCCACTTCCTGAGCGTGCCCATCTTCTTGCCACTGCTGCAGTTGTCCGTTTGCTTGCCTATGCCTCTGAGCTCTGTCTTCGCCATCTCTGAAATGAGGACAGCAAGGTGCGCAGAAGTTCTGCTTCTCACGCCTCTTATTGCTTCCTTGCTCAGAGATCAGTTGAACGTGCAACAATGTCATGGAAGGGGAACACCAGTCAGGGGTCTCCAGAGGTATTTTAGTCAATTTATATATTTAGACAATTGATATAAAACTTAATTACAATTTCCTCTAAGCAGTGTGCAAGGAACACAATGCAATGAACATCCATTGCAACAATAAAATCAGAATTCATGGGGAGAAGTCTGCTCAAGGATGTGGGTCTACTGTAGGACCAGGAAGTTCAACAGGGACCTCAACTGGAAGGAAATTCTATAAAAATTGGGCCCATAATACTGAACACTACTGGTTGGCAGTGCTCCCCCCACTAGGATATGGACCTCAGCCCAGTGGTATCACCTTCTGGTGCTGCCCTGCATGCAGTTGAGCTTGATACCTAAGCTTCATATCATTCAAGTCAGCCTTTGTTTGCCCTTTCCTTCTCCCTTCCATCTCCAATAAGCCACCAGGTCAAATGCAATGGGCAATTTTCTGATATGGCTGGCTCATCATTCAGTTGTTCTTACTGGCATAT